AATAAATATTTTTCTGTCTTAATGTAAAATGAGACTTTTCAATAACAAGTGACATGTATAACGTGTTATTTAATGTAAAAATAAATATTTGGTCAATTATAAGACATAGTTACTGTTATTTATAACTAGTATGAAATTTGTGGAAAATATTTTTTATATTTTGCTAAAATTTAATTCTTAAAACTTATAGATGAAACTTTAAATAGAGTAACATTTTCATTCACTGTTATTAGAAATGACTAAGACTGAGTGAAAACTTAGAGCAATGTGTGAATAAAACAAGTATTTCTGAAAATAAATCTTCACAAATAAAAATTACTCCATTCTGTGGTTTATAAGCTACCTTGAAACTATTATTTACAAAAATGCATGTGCACTTTTGTATTGTCTATTACATTTCCCTATACAGAGAAATTATAAAGTTATAAACACGTTAATATTTTTAGTGTCATTTATATTTCCATAGTAATTGCTTAGTGCACATTAATTTCTTCTCAAAAACAATCATATCATAATGTATTTATTACCTACACTGTTAAAAGACCTTATTAACACTCTGTTTCATCATTCCAGATGTCACTGTCATATTCACTTTCTGACTCAGATTCAGAAAACTCAATGGCCACACGTCGTGCTAGAATTGATGCTACATCATGAAGTGGAGCAGCTTTTTCCACTTCTTTCTGCTTGATGTCTTCGACTCTACGAAGTTTGATACCTGAAAATAAAATTAAAGTTATCTCGTTTTCAGAAATCTCCAAACATTTATGTAATTTCCAAAGCAAATACCACACTAAATTATCACAATGAATAATATAAGTTTTATGTGTATACTTAAGGATAGCCAGGGAAATTCCTTCATAAACGTTAAAAGTCATGATTTAAAGGATAAATTTCATGTGTGTGTGTTAAACTGTCAAAATCGGATACAGATACACAAGTAAGTGATTGGTTCTTTGAACAAACACATGAATGTATACTTTGAAAGAATTATGAAAGCTGCTATTCATAAAAAAAACTAAATGTGGTGTAAGCCACATACAGATGGGAAAGACCATTTACTTTGTACACTTTTGGAATTTAAAAGCTGACATAGATAACTTTAAACATAATAACACAAAATCTGCTAATCAAAACTAAAACCCTTTCTCAGTTTCTATCAACAGCACATAATTCCTGCAATGATTTTTCCCAAAATCAAGCTGAGTATTGTACACAAATTCTAAACTGAGATATACGAGTTATAGCTAGTTTGTTCTCTGCATTGTTGTTTTTTGGTATTAAATATTACACTTTTGAAATAACATGGGTTTTGACTTTTGGTTAAGCACCCAAATTTCATATTAACTCTGCTTTATTCTGTTTTAAAATATCTTTGTATTTTACTTATAGCAACCTTAGTATTACCAAAAACTAGCCCACTCTCCTACAGTTTTCAGTGAGTTATGAGATGTTTCTGGCTACATTTCCTTATTACTAATGAACTTTTATAACATGTATTCACTCACAATCAGGATGCTCTTCCCAAACTATTCATGATTCACCATGGCACTAAAACCTTTAAATTCTTTATCTCTTTCATTAACACAGTGATGGAATTAAGAATAGTGATGCAAAAAAGCAAAGAGTTACTTATCACAAAGTTAATCTATATTTACTGCACAGACCTATTCACATCACATATGCTATAAGAATCCCACATTTCAGAGAAAAGATACGAGAAGTGAAGAGTTATTTATAACACAGTTTATTCCATACACTGACTCGCATCATGGGTGCTAAAAGAGCCCTACATTCAAGAGGATCAAGAATCCAATGAACGAATTGAGAAAAGAAAACAAGTGGGAGAGCTTCAAACAGCAACAGTAGGAACCATGTCTTTCATTCATAACACACTGAAGGAAGAATAACTCAGCTAACTATTTATAACACAGTTTATTCCATACACTGACTCGCATCATGGGTGCTAAAAGAGTCCTACATTCAAGAGGATCAAGAATCCAATGATCGAAGTGAGAACAGAAAACACGTGGGAGAGCTTCAAACAGCAACAGTAGG